TCATTAGCACACTACTCATCCCTCAAAACCTGGCTCATCCAGCACTTCCTTTGTTCTGCATTCCTAATCCACTCCCAGTTTGTTCTCACCTGGTGCCACTATGGATCTCTGTACTTGCCTCTGACAGATGGTACTTAAGCACTGCAATACATTCTCATTCCTGTGTCTGTCTCTCCAGAGACCACAAAAGCTGGCTCTGTCTTTATTTTTTTCCTGGCACCAGAAGGCTTGAAAAGCAGAATATCAGGGTATAGTTGCTAAATGACTTCTCAACAACTGGATTTAAACTTGGCTTGGTTCTTTGTTCATCCTTTAATTTGACCATTGTTTATTAAATACCCAGGACCACTCAGCAAGTATTTATTAAGCTTTTGTTCTGTGCCCAGCCTATCCTGGCAGTTACAATAAAGTATCCCGATGCTATATCAAGGCATACAGATGTGACATCTAAGCCAGAGTAGGCTGGTGGATGGGACAGGGCAGACTTCCCATAAAAAGTAATATCTAGCCAGGCACGGTGGCTCACACCTGCAATCCCAGCAGCTCAGGAGGCTGATGCAGAAGGATTGCAAGTTCAAATCCAGCCTCAGGAACTTAGCAAGGCCCTAAGCAACTCAGTGATACTGTCTAAGTAAAAGGGCAGGGGATGTGGCTCAGTGGTTAAGTGCTCCTGAATTCAATCCCCAGTGCCAAAATTAATAATAATAATATCATCTAACTAAAAACCCAAGATTTTATAAAGAGCCAGGCACTTAAGAAGACAGTGGAGAATTGACTACTTTTATTCCTGCTGTGTGGAATTTTTATATCACTTCAAATACATTTTTCAAGAAAATGCTCAGCATTGCCTGGAGGGATGGTAAGTAGGAAGAGGTAGGAGGCACACTTTTTTTCAGTAGTAATACCATTCCTTCTAAACCCTTCCCAGGACTTCACCATCATAGCCCTGAATTCTGGGTACTCTTCTGAGGTTTGCCTGTCTTTTGAGGGAAAATGGTCAAGTAGATAAATGGTCAGGTCCTCTCCCAAGACCCAGTCAGCTTGCTTTCAGAGAGGGTTGTCCTTCCTGAAAGTATATTTAGGGTCAAGGAAATGATTTCTTCATTACTGTCTTCACTACCCTTTTTTCCCCCTGTCATCCAGCATGTCCTCTGGGCCAGGCCCCATTCCTTGGAGTTAGAGAGATGAAGGTTCAGGCCTTGTCCTCCAGAACTTCACAGAATAGTGCTGTCTCTGCTTTCATCTCTCCTCTCCTCTCCCAGGCTCCTGGAGTCCATGATCCCTATCAAGATGGTCAACTTCCCCCAGGTGAATAGGGGGTAGCATGTCTGGAGAGCCAGGGGAGGCACCCAGGGCAAAGGGTGGGACCATCAAGTCAAGCCTTTGAAGGTATAAAGAGAAGAGGCGTTGTAAACACCAAAATGAGTGAGTTGCTATTTTGACAGAAAATCGCTGGTGAACTTTACGGACCTCTCATGCTGGTGTTTACACTGGTTGCCATCCTCCTCCATGGGATGAAGACATCTGACACCATTATTGTAAGCTGAACAGAGGACTTTGGGAGAAGGGTGGCTGATGTAGGTTGAAAGCTGCCCAAGGACAGGATGGTGGAGTGAGGCAGAAGCAGGCCCTGGGTGAGGCTGAGATCAGAGGTCTCCCAGGACTAAGTAGAACCTTCACCCTACAGCGGGAAGGCACCCTGATGGGCACAGCCATTGGCACCTGCTTTGGCTACTGGCTGGGCGTCTCGTCCTTCATTTACTTCCTGGCCTACTTGTGCAACGCCCAGATCACCATGCTCCAGATGTTGGCACTGCTGGTAAGGAGCCAGGCATGGTAGTGGGCAAGAGCAATTTTTTAAAAAGTAGTAAGGCTTTGGTCTGCATCGGTCTTGGGAGGCTCTGGACCTGGAATGAGAGGAGCAGGCCAGTGGAGCATTTATTCCCAGGGCCCCCCTGAGGAGTCAGAGGCCAGCCCAGACTGAATGATTTTCCTCTTCACCACCCTTCTTTCCAGGGCTATGGTCTCTTTGGGCACTGCATTGTCCTGTTCATCACTTATAACATCCACCTCCATGCCCTCTTCTACCTCTTCTGGCTGCTGGTGGGTGGGCTGTCCACCCTGCGCATGGTAAGCTGAGCAAGAGGTTTCCATGGGTGAGTTGTCCTCCCAGGGAGTTGGGGGAGACAGCCTGAGTTGTGCACTCCACAGAGGGCTCTAAGTGGAAAGGAAGGACCCATAACCATCCTGCCCTGGGTGCAGGTGTATTCCCCCATCCCTCACTTTGAAACCACACCCTCTGAACTGTATTCCTGTGGCCCTAGGTGGCAGTGTTGGTATCACGGACTGTAGGCCCCACCCAGCGGCTACTCCTCTGTGGCACCCTGGCTGCCCTGCATATGCTATTCCTGCTTTATCTGCATTTTGCCTACCACAAGGTGGTAGAGGGTAAGTGGAAGGAGGGCCTACACGAGGGGGAGGGGCAGAATGGTGGCCCAAGGTTGGGGGCTAGATGCAACCTGTGGACTAGACCCAGTAGCACTCACCTTTCCTCTTCCTTCTTTCAGGGATCCTGGACACACTGGAGGGCCCTAACATCCCACCTATGCAGAGAGTTCCCAGGGATGTCCCTGCTGGGATCCCTGCTGCCAGACTTCCTACCACCGTGCTCAATGCCACAGCCAAGGCTCTTGCAGTGACCCTGCAGTCACACTGACCCCACCTGAAATCCTTGGCCAGCCCTGTCTCTCCCAACTGTGGAGCAGAGAAAAATTAAAGGACAGTACTGGTGACATGGGTCTCTGATGGGGTCTGCAGTTGCCACTGAGTTGTAGCTGCGTAAGTACCTCTTTGATGCCTGTCGGGGCTTCTGAAGGGCACAAGGCCAGGAAATCCTGGCCAGGACTGCAAAGCTCTGCAGCCAGTGCAGAAAGTGGGTCAGCTCCTCTGAGGCCCCCATACCACCTATCCCTTCCTTCTTCTGTGCCCCTCTTGTCTTGCTAAATATAGACTTGGTAATTAAAATATTGATTGAAGTCTGGAACTGCGGTTACTGTTCCAGTGGTTCTCCTTGTCACCCTACTTCTTATACAAGTTCTTGTTGTTCATCATCAGTAGTCACATGTTCCCTTCTATATGCCCTCACACAAAAGGGATGAAGGTGAGACAGGCCTAACTACTTAGATGTCAGTGACTGTTCATGGAACTTGCCCTAGGGTAGGGGATTCCTGACCCATGGAATGGCAAGGAGCCCACAAGAGGCTTAAGCCTCATGAAACAGTATCAGATGAAGTCTGAGCTCAGCAGCATTTTGGGGAAGCCAGTGGAGCAATGGCAACTAGACAAAAACATCCAGACTAAATCCCGGATCATTACAAGGACCTTGTGCACATGGGCCCTTGTGGGGCTATTTTCCCATGGAGCTCACATCTGAAGCTAAACTTAGCTGTTCCCTGTTTTAAGCTGGCCTGCTCCCTTCAGGAGTTTCCTCTGGCCTTCCACTTCCTTCCTTCAAGAGTACCATTATTCATAAAAAAAAAAAAAAAAAAAAAAAAAAACTAGTATGGCACCATCTATTCCCTCTACCCCTTTGATCTGCTCTGTTTAATTCAGGTAGTTAGCAGAGGGAGTAGTGTCTCTGGTTTCACAATAGTAATATTACTTTTTTAAAAAAAATTGCCATTATTCTTGTAAGCCTGGAACAACAGCATCTTTCCAAAGGAACTAGCAGAAGTGCCCTTGAGGGCTGGGGTCCTACTCAGTGGTAGAGCACTTCCCTAGCATATGTGAGGCACTGGGCTCAATTCTCAAAACTGCAAATAAATAAAATTAAGGTCCATTTTCAACTAAAATATATTTTCTAAAGTGCCCTTGATTTGCCCTGCTAGACAAATGAGGCCTCACCACCATCAGCAGTGGACAAGATTCTACTTGCACTGTGCATCGTGCCCCAACTCCCTTCACGCAGTTCCCGCCACCATTCCGGGTCGCTGATCCAGGAAGCAGTTTATTTTGGCTGCCCCATTCTCAAAGACACAACTTCAAGACATCAGCAGCGCCCTACACCGCAACGCCCGGGGGATGGAGCGGTACCAGGGTCCCGCATCCGCATTAGCGACAGTTAGGGCACCGTAGTTCAGTTCGGCTGTCGCCTGGGGCCCTCTCCCAGGCGGCGGGTCTAACGGGAAGCTGGCGGGGGAAGTCCTCACCGAAGGGAATCCCCACGCACGCTGCGCCTCGCGTCACTGGGGCAAGGGGGCGGGGCGAGGCACGGATTAAAGGGCCTAGGGACTTCCTTACCGGAGAGGGGAGTGTCCAGGATCTTGACGAGGGTGCCAAGGGTCTAGACCTGAATGGGGAAAACGGGAGGATGGGTCCGGTAACAGCCAAACGCCATCTCCACGTAATGTGCCTCCATACATATAAACATACACGGCTGCCCTTCCCAGGCCTCAGCCCAATGCCTTCTTTCCGCCTGATGTCTGGCCCCTACATCCAGGGGAAGAATGTCTCCGCTCGAGCTCCTAGCCCGGAACCACCCGGTGTGCGCGAGCCTGGTGGGCCGGCGTGGACCAGGCCGGGCAGGGGGCGGGGCGAGTGCGATGACGCGACCGTTGCCTTGGAAACCCGCCGCCCGCTCCGGCGCAGGAGCTGAAGCTAGAGCTGCCGCCCGCCCGCCGCCCGCTTGGGGCTCTACCTGCGAGTGGGGCGGCTGGGCCCTCCGGGCGGCCGGGGAAGCAGGGCCGGAGAGAGGGAGGGAACGGGTGCGGCCTCCGAGCCGGGACCGTCCCACACGTCCTGAGACTACGCCCCTGAGCCGCCGGCGCCGAAACCGCGAGGGACAAGAACTAGCGCCAGAAAGCGCCTGCCCAGCCTCCGAACCTCGCACCCCGGCCCGCCGCCCAGACACGGACGGCACGGTCCGCCCCCGCCCCAGCGCTGCTCGGTCTCAGCCCGGCCCGCGGCGGCCCCGGCCCCGGCCCGGGTCCCGGCCCCGGCGCGCTTCTCCGCCTCTGCGGCCGCCGCTGCAGCCACTGCCTCAGCCGCCGCCGCCGACACCGCCGCCTCCACCTCTGCCTCCGCCTCCTCCCCCGCTCCGTCCGCGACCCCAGCCAGGGCCCCAGCCCCAGCCCCGGCCTCGCCCGCGACCCGGCCAACCTCCTCCCCGGCCCCGGCCCGGGCCCCGGCGGCCCAGCCGCGGGTACCATGCTGCCCAGCTCCATCCAGATTTCCGGAGAGCCGCTGTCAGGCGCCGAGGTGCGGGACATCTGCCGCGGCCTGCGCGACAACGCCGTGCGCCTGCTCTCCCTGCGCGGCTGCCGCCTCTGCGACCGCGACTTCGGCCGCATCTGCCGGGCCCTGGCCGGGGCCACGTCCCTCGCTCAGCTCAATCTTAACCTAGGCGTCGTGTCCAGCCCCAGCCGCATCAAGCAGCTGGCGGAGGCGCTGCGAACCAACCGCTCCATCCAGTCCCTCTTGTGAGTGCGCCCCCTCGCAAGGGGGTCCCGGGCACTGCACCCCTCCACGTACTCCTCCTGCCACCTCCTGTTCCTCCACTTTCTAGTACCTGACTTGCCACCAGCCAGCCTTTACGCCCCTATACACACACCTCATCCTTCTGCCCATCCCTCAAGCACACGCCTTATCTCTGCCCAGGCGGCCCCACACGAAACGGGATACCCAACCCGTCCTGGCAGGGCCTGTCATACCTCCCCACCTCCCCACCCGCATTTACCTCACGGGGGCAGCCCTTCAGTTCCCAAGAAAGAATACCCCCATGGAGACTACCTGCGTGCCCACAGAAGAATTCAGTCCAACACCCACACCCCTTCTATGCCCCACCCTCTGCAATGTCCTGGATTCCAGTCCCTGCCCCAGAAAAGCAAGCAAATTCGCCTTCCAACTGAGAATTTTCATTCTTCCTTTACCAGGCCTCTCAGGGGAGGTGCCCCTTTCCCAAATAGATAAGGCTAATGACTACAATAACTGCTCTCTTGCCTCACCCCCCAGCCTGCATGGGAGCCCTCTGACAGATGCTGGGCTGGCCTTGCTGAACCCAGCCCTGGCCCTCCACCCTGCCCTCGTGGCTCTCGACCTCGGGGACTGTATGCTGGGTGATGAAGCTATCAACCTCATCTGTGGCCTCCTCCCCCCAGATGGGGCCAAGTCGGGTGAGCAGGGTTCTACTGAGGACATAGGCTAGTGTGGCCTTGATAAAAAAAAAAAGTAGTGGGAAGGGGGTGTGGTCCTCCGAGGGTGTGGTTGAGAATGTCTTTTTTACTCCTCTCAGGAAATGGGGCTGAACACTGAGCAGGGTGAAGACTCAGGGATCCAGGCAGGGCCAGGCAGGGGAGGCATGGGTCCTCACTGGCTCTGGAGCTCTGTGTTTGGGGATGGAGTGGCTCCCAGCCACTAGGGATATCCCAGAGATAGGAAAGGGGCTGAATGAGAGACTGATTCTCCCCATCCTGGCTTCTCATTACAATGTTGCCCAGGCTTGAAAGAGCTAACGCTGAGCGCCAACCCTGGCATCACCCCTAAGGGCTGGAGCCGCCTCGCCATTGCTGTGGCCCACAGCTCCCAAGTCCGCGTCCTCAATCTGGACTACAACCCCCTGGGTGAGTCTCAAGACCACTTCCTTCAGTTCTCAGGGCCCCATGCACTATCCAAGAAACTGTGACCACCAGTTGCCATGGTGGCCCCAACACTGGGGGAGGGAAGAGGAAGGAGAGCCCCCCCCCCCCCGCCAAGGATCTAGTTGGTAGTAGATGAGCAATCCTGTGTGGAGCAATAGATGACCAACGGGTCGAGCAAACCATCAGTCAGCACCCTACACGTACTCTACGTACTCCTCCTGTCACTTCCTGTCTTCCCACCAACCAGCCTTTACGCCCCTTCACCCGCTCTGTTCACTCATTAATCACAATGCTACACTCTTGGCCACTATCAATTAGGGTCTCCTAGCCAGGGGCTGGGTCTAAGGTTGTTAGTGTAATGGGGGAGCTGACCAGGAGAAAGGGTTAATCCCTGTGTGTGAGTACATGAATGTGTGCTTTCTCCCCAGGTGACCATGTGGCAGGGATGCTAGCTGTAGCTGTAGCCTCCAGCCGCACCCTAGAAGTCCTAGATTTGGAGGGTACAGGGCTTACGAACCAGTCAGCTCAGGTAAGAAGTCTTCATGTTTTGGGGACAGGCCAGAGGGTCAGGGTGGAGGTTAGTGTGTCTGTGGACATAACCTAAGGGGTGGCAGGTTGGGTCTGAGGACCTGTCTTAACTGTGTTCAACCTTTTCTATACTCTTCCCCACCCCCAGACTCTGCTGGACATGGTAGAAAATTATCCCACAGCTCTGCGGAGCCTAGTGTTGGCTGAGAACAGCATCAGCCCAGAGCTGCAGCAGCAAATCTGCGACCTACTCTCTGAGGGGGAAGAGGAAGAGGAGGTGGCAGGAGGGACTGGTGACACCCAGGAATGGGAGAGAGGACGGGAGCCTGCTGCCCACCAGAGGGGCAACAGCTCCTGGATGTGCCCCAGCGGTAAGAACCCAGAGGGTTAATTAGAACCAGTCTGAAAGAGATTTGGGACAAGGAGAGTGGGTGTGGAAACCTATGCCATCTCCCCTCTGTGTGTGGTTCCCACTGAGGAACAAGTGATGATCTGAACACCCTTCTGCCTTTCCACAGATCCCAGTTCTCAGATGGTGCTAATGACATCAGGACTAGGGGACAGTCTGTTGGCTGAAACCGAGATGTGACTCTCCATTTGGGCTTCTGCACATCATTACACTTGTCTATGTCCTCAGCACCTTCCTCCAGATGTCAGGGCTTGGGAGGTTGGGGAAAGGGGTTGCTTGGGGCTCTGGCAGCTCCTGGCACTAGTGGGAGGCTCTGGAAGCTGTGACTAGGCAATGGCTATGGGGTGGGGGTGGGGGTGCTGAACCCAGGGCAAGGCCTCTGGACCTGTTGGCAGTTCTTGACTGCAACCCGCTGGCTCGGAAGAGATTTTACAAACTCCCCAACCTGGTGTGTGGCAGTGGTCACTGGGGACCCAGAAATGGGAGGAACTCAAACTACCACTAGGCACCATTAGGGGGCAGTATCACCCCACCGCCCAAGCACCAGGCAGCACACTCTCCCAATAAGCCTAGCCCAGGTCTAGGACCTGGGATTCTGGGTGACACATCACAAGCTCCATGAAGATTCTAAAAAAAGAAGAGAATAGGTCCAAAGCAGGGCTGGACTGAACCCTACTTATTGAGGGGAGATCCAGGGGCTCTAAGGTTGTGGGTGCCCCTTCTGCTGCTTGCTGCTCTGTGCCCAGGGACACCATAGGCAGAATGTGTTAAGGGGAGTCACTGGCAAAGACTAGGGAAAAAACTAGGTCTGAAAATATGAAAATACTCAAGAATGGGGAGAAGAATGGGAGAGGAAAGGTCATTAAGGAAAATAAGGCCATACCAGTAAAATAATTTTATTTGCTTTTAAAATAGTCATCAATGTGAAATTTCCCCAAATTGGGAGTAACAGTCTAGAGCCAAGGTTAAGAATGGGGCCAGGCCTAACCCAGAACCCACTTTGAGGCCCCTAAAGCCCACACTCCCTTCCAGAGGGAGGGAGGAAACATCTGAGGGGAGCCCTGAGTCAGTTGCTCCCTCATCCCTGGGCCCAGCTGAGCCAGGCCCCTTGAGGGCAGCAGCTTGTGCAGAGAAAAACTGGTGAGAATCAGAAATTAAGAGGTTAATAACCCCAGTAATACCCCCCAAAACAACCAAAGCTCATGAATATAAAAGGAGGATGGAAGATGAACACTGATGATCGAGCCCCTGGGCTCCCCAGAACAGCCCAATTTGAGCTGGTTGACTGGAGGACAGCACTTGAGACCCAATTGCATGTTACCTTTGGAAAATAAACATTCCAAGAAAAGGAAAAAAAAATCATGAATGAGGCAAGCTGGTGCCAGTGTCAATGCAGCTGAAAGGCCTAGTGTGGCCTCTCTTTCACACAAGGAACAGAGCTGTGCAGGTGTGGGAAGGAAGAGCTCAAGCGCCTAGGCCTTCTGCAGGCCCAGTGCGACATCAGCAGGAAAGCAAGTGGGCCTAGCTGAGCAGGGTGCCCTGCTCTTGGGCCTGGGTCAGGCTGTCTTTGCGGTGAAGATGGTGCACCCCCATCCTCTTGGGACTGCGCTGTGGGCGGCTAGAGCTGGTGAGAGGCCAGGCCCTGCCCTCAGTATGGTAAGTGCCAGGCCCTTCTGTCCCCCTACCACCAGGCAGCAGGCTCTGACGCTCTTCTTCAGGGCTGATGGGCAGGTTCAACTCTTCTTCCTCCTCCTCCCTGGGAAAACCAGAGTCAGGTTCTGTTGGCAGCAAAAGCCCACTCTCATCAGGTAGGGAAGAAGGTGCTGGAACCACCTCATCTCTGTCAGCAGGGTTAAGGGCAAAATGGCGCTGCAGTTCAGGGAGTGCATCGCGCCCAAAGGCTGTGCGCTGGACCACAGCAGCAGGTGGTGGAGTGCGGTCCACAAATGCACGCTGCCAGCTGGCTAGCAGGTCCTCTTCAGAGCTGGCTGAGCTGGCAGGGGTGCTGAGTGTTGGGGGTGCTGGGTTGGGTTGGTGGTGGGGTGAGGCCTGGGCCGAGACAGGGCTGCTGGGTAGAGGGCTAGGGCGGGCCCGTTCACTCCCCTCCTCCACCAGACTCAGGGAGATGGCCTGGCGGGTAGCATAAGTGCAGTTGGGCAGGGGACTGTTACGAGGGATCCGAACCTTATCTTCAGAGAACTCTATTACCTTGCGGCCAGGATACAGTGGGTGTGGTGGAGATGGGGTGGGGTATGGACTCAGCTTCTCAATGGCTGGCAAGGGTAGCTCTTCCTCTGGGGAGCCTCCTGTAGTACCCAGAGAATGGCATTCTCCATTGGGTTGCAGGGTGGGACTGCCAGGGGCTGGAGGACTAGCTGGGTCACCAGGAGCACCCCCACTCATGTCCACATGCACAAAGACATCCTCAGCCAAGGGGTGCCCAGTACTGCCTGACTGTGCTGAATTGAGCAGTAAAGACTCTGGCTTCTCCAACACCCGGGCAATGACTGAAGTAGGCACCACAGCTCCTGGGGCCAGGCTAGGAGCAGGGCCTGGGCTGGAAGCCTCTTGACCACTGTGCAGATGTTTCCGAACCATGTCCTGTAGCTCACAAGGCAGCTGGGATAAAGGAGCAGAAAAAGGAAGAGAGATGTGAATGATTCCAACTGAAAACAGCTTGACTCTGCAAAACTAATGGCTACCACATATAGTACCACTGTGTACTGTTTACTTTCTGCTGAATAACATCATTTCATAGATAAATAGGCTCAGTCGGTGTAAAATAACTTGAAACTTTTGATTAACACAGCCAGAATTTGAATCCAGATCTACTGCTGAGACCTGTGTACTCTCAAATTTCTATCTCCCCTACCTCGGCAGTGGCTTCTATCCAAATCAGACTTCTGTTTGGAGAATCTACAGATCAGTACCCCTACAAATACCTCTATTTTTGTAGGCTGCATTGACCTTGGACCTGAGGCCCTTGGGTCTACAGTTTGCCTCCTGAGGTGATGGGATCATATGGGCCTAATCCTTTCACAATACTCATGGCCAATAGCTCTGGCCATCCCCTCTTTCCTGCAAAGTGTCCTCAAACTGAGTCTCTTGTCTCTGATTATAAAAATAACAGGGCTAGCCCCAGCACTATCAATGAGCAATAACATGGGGGACACCAGCAAGGCTGACTGGCTTGAGGGGCAACATGGAGGCAAGTAGGCAAAACAGAAAGGAGGAGCTAAATGAAGGAGGATGAAGACAGGTGCAGAAACTTGAGTGTAAGGGGTCCTAAAAAGGCTGGAATGGCACCGGTCAAGCAAGGGGTATGCTCAACTCACATCGGCGAACTTGTGGTTACGGAAGTGCGACTTGTTGCACTTGAGGAGCTGCACAGCCAGGTTGCAGTCCAGCCGGTACCGTTCCTACAGACACGGATGTGCTTCAGATCCCAGCCTGGCCCTGCTCAGGGAGCAGGGCTAGCCAGGACAGACCCCACCACTGTCAGGAAAGGCCCTCCGAGCAGGTGCAGTATACGTACATTGAGCTCCTCTAGCTTGTTGATGGTGTTCTTGGCATCCAGCAGCTTGTTGGTCAGCTCCACGATCTCCCAGTCGAGTGTCTTCCTATCCATCTCAGCCTTCTTAATCTGAGGCACAGACTTGTGGTAAACCCAATCCAGACCCCACTGGCCCTTCCTCCCCTCCACCACCTCCCAGCCCAGAGATATGAGGCCACATGTGCCAGGACAGCCACGGCAGACAGAGCAGACAAATGATGGACAGACAGAAGGAGACTGGGCACCTCTCTCCTGCTCTCTGGAGTGGCTGTTGGTGGGGCCATGTGGGCCCAGGACAGAGGCAGTGTAAGAACTGTCCATTCACTGAGGGAGTTTGGGGGCCTCTAGGCACTAGTCAAGGCAGTTGGTACCTCAGAGACTAACTGCCACCTGTGTGCAGCATTTCCAGGACAGGACTAGGAAGAGGGAGTGGGGCTGGGTGACAGCTGAGATGCCTGTGAGATTAGATGATTGGGGAGGAAAGGAGTTGCAGGTTCAAAAGTAGCCTTCTGATCTTCAGTTCATGGACTGGATCTATAGCCTCCCCTCCCATCAAACAGCTGGGCCTACTGTCACTGCAGCCAGGAAGTATTCCATGGTGACATCAGTATCTGCCAGAGCCAAGGGCAGAAGCCCCAGCCCTCTTCCAGGAGGGAGGCACTGATTACCAAATGAGCCTCACATAGGGAGAGGCAAGAGGTAGGTGCCCTCGGGGGGTAGAGGAAATAGCCAGGACCCCCCAATCCCAAAATTTGGCTAAGGAGGCCAGGGTAAGGGAAAAAACACACAAACTCAGACGCAACTGCAAAAATCCAGCTGTGGCTAAGAGAGGCCTGAGAGGAGAATGCAGCAGCAACGGTGGCAGCATGAGGGGGAGACGAGGAGAGAAGAGAAACAGTGTGAGCATTAAGACAGTCCCCACGTGCATAGCACACTGCGGTTCCCTCCCCACCACTGCCCCACTTCCATCCCTCCTAAATCCCAGGGCAGAATGGCATTTTCCTGGCAAGTCCTGGCCCCCTGCTACACTGTGAGCACAGTGCTAACCAAATCACCCTGCTAACCAAATCACCCTCCTAGACACGTTACCAGTGTATGCAACTTGTCCTCCAGCTCCTGGTTGGTCCGCTGGGAAGCCGTATAACTGTTCTGCAGCCTGAAGAGGAATACAAGGCAGACACCTGGTCAAGATCGAATTTTTCAGGCCCTACTCAGCTCCTCCTCCACTTGGATCGTGGGCAAATCAATTTCCTAGAACCTCTCCCAGAACATCAGTTTTCTAATCAGAATCAGGTCATCTCTGAGGCCTCTTCCAGCTAACATCCTGTGAACACAAAAACGCTCATTTGCCTCTGGCCCCTGGATCACACCTGCGGAATTTGTCCTTAAACTTGTCCAGCTCTTCGCGGCTCTGGCCTAGCTCCAGCTCCAGGCAGTCTTGCCCAATTTCCAGCTCACGCTCCAGGGCTTCAGTGCGTCTGGTGGCAGAGGCCAGACGCCGACGAAGCTCTTCATTCTCTTGCTGCAAAAGCCTAGGATGCAGGAAGATACAGAGGAGCCTCAGAGAGAGAAGAGCCAGTCCTGGAGTTTTGGGTGGAGCTCAAGAAAGAAGGCAAGGGATGATATGGGGACAGGCAACTGAAAGGAGGGGCGGACAACTGAAAGCAGAGGGATTCCTAGAGCTTCAGCTCAAGTTGAGGGTAGCAAGTTCCACCGGCCTGCTGGACCTGAGAACAGAACCTGAGTTGGATGGTAAGGGAGGGAGAGGGGATGGGAGGGAACACTCCACTCCTCCAACTATTACAGAAGAAAACCAGGAAAACAGGACAGAATTGGATGGGGCAGAGCTCCCAACCTGTCTCTTGTTACCACCTAAGCCAGCCAGCCAGCCACCAAACCCCCCAGCTCCAGTTTCCTCACTGCACAATCAGGCTTCTCCATTATTAATCCTGTGGAAATCCAGCCGAGCACTGCCCTCCTCTCCAGAGTTCTTGTGTGGCTATCAGAAAGGGCCATATGGGGGCAGCTGGCACAAGAGATCATTCTGTTCTCTCTGGACAGGACTTGGGGAGGGGCTGCTTGGCAAGAGCAGGCCCCTTAGACCCATCCACCTCCTCATTCCAGGTTCTCTGGAATCCCACACAACAAAACTCCCTTTTCCTGAAAAAATATCCAGAACATCAACCGACATCCCAGAGTTCCTAAAACACCCCATTTACCTCTACTCCCCTAATCCAAGGAAAGTCTGACTGTATGAGTAGCCTAACCTGGAGCTAAGAAGGACAGTCAAGGCAGGCAGTATCACAGGCAGCAGATACTCACTTCATTCTCTCTGCATCAGTCAGGGGCTCCTGAACAAAAAAGAACATAAGCTTGAGGCTCAGCTCTGGACCATTGGCCTCCTAGATGGTCCCCTCTCCAAACAGCCCTGAAAAGGGCCATGTCTAAAGTCTAAAGACTCTCACAGAAGAGAGCTAAGGGCCTTCTAGAGATGAATGCAATCCAGTAATGCCCAGACAAGCCTAGATTACTCTCTCCTGTGCCAGCTAGAAGACTCTAGAACTCCTTCCAACCTTCACCCTTAATCCTAGAATAATTTTTCAAATGGATCCTGGTACCCATGCTACCTCTCCCCAGGAGGGAACCTCTCAGCTATCCACTGGGTTCTTCATGGGCCCTGTCTCCACATAAGCATGGCAGAGACCTTCCAGAGAAATGAATAAATCAGGCCAAACTACAGAAGAATTCTGAGTTTTACCAAAGTCTTCTCAGTCCTCTGTGGGGAAGATAAGGGCAAAATCAGGACCTTGAAGGCTCAGGAAGAATAAATGCATGGGTGAAGGAGAGCCTTTGGGCTAATCCTAAATGAGAGGATGTTTTTAACCTGTACCATCTTCCCCAAACCCCAATGGCTCAAGAGTCAGAGCTTGGGCAACTATATAGCACAGCAGGCAAAGGCTATGTACAGCAGGAAGGAAATGTGAAGGGCCTACTCCAAATGAACCTAACTCCAACAGAACTGTAGTTAGAGGCAAGAAAATGAGGTGGGTGGCTCAGATCATGGACTTTGGAGCCAATGACACCTGAATTTGACTCTGTTCCACTGCATACTGGTTATATAACCTTAACTTCACTAAGCCTTATTTCCCTCAACTTATAAGACTGGAGGATGCCCACCAGGTGGCACCTAGAATAATAGCTGGCATTTTTATCTAATACTCCCTGAACTGAAAGGGAAAAGCAATGGCATTTTGTACACTGGTGGGCCATGTGCACCATGTACATGTGCAGCATATACACCGATGCTCAGCGTCTGTTGAATTTCAAGTCCTTTAAACATGTTCCATGTGCTATGGAGGCAGGGCAGCAAGGACAGTCAACCACCACAACACTTGCCTCATCCTCTCAGGAGGCTTAACAAGGGAGGAGAGCTAACCTGGAGTATGCTGTTAACTATATGCCTTCCAAGAGCAGAGTCTAGACCTAACACAGTTCCTGGAAAGAAGTATATGTTTAACACATATGAGCCAAACAAAATAAAGCTAGAGGAGGGGCCAGAATTCCTGGTGACAATAAAGAGCAGGTGCTCTGGTTGAATGGCTCTTCTCCACTAGAGGGCTAGAGAGTCTGGTGGGCTGCCTCTCACAAGGAGAATAATACTGTATGGGAACACTCTTGCTAAGCTCTGATGGCTCTGGGGTTCCCTGGCATATGGACTATAGTCCCCCATAAGGCTGCATTTCCCATATGAGGACTACTGCACTAGGAAACCCTAGGCCTGTATAATCAGCACTGCCACATGCTCAGCCCAACTCGGGAAACCAGTAGCTCAGACAGAAGTCAGCCGGACACCCAGCCTCAGGGACCTGCTCTTGCCAGCCAGGACTCAGGTACCAATCTTACTGACCTCCTGTTCCAGTCGGGACCCAGGAATTTCCAGCCGCAGCTCCCGATGCTCCGGCGGTGCCTTACGGTAGGGTTTCTTGGCAGGGGCTGCACTGGTCATTCTGGGAGGTGTGGGCTCCTCCACTTTCTGAGGAGAAGTCAGGAAGGAAAAGGTTCAAAAATGTGGTTAAGAGGTCTTTGGATTGAGAGGAAAAAATAATGATCAAAGGGGACATATATTGGTGCCAACATAGGCCTGGGCCATTGTTGGGGTCATTAGAAGGGCTGGACTTTGATGTGTTGGTCCCCATAAGTCAGGGCAGTGCTGGGGGATGGGGACTGGGTCCCATAGGGAACAGACAGGCAGGAAAGGCAGGGCCCAAATCCTGGACACCAGAACAAGTGGACCTTGCTGTAAGAGTGGGGTAGGAACTCAAGAACAGTCAACTGCTTTCCCTTGAAAGTGGAAGGGGCTGCAGAGGGAAAACTACTCTCTGTTTAAATGTTTCCTCAACTCTATACTGGGGCAGCTCTGAGCAGCACCAATTTCACAGGGTTGCTGTAGAGATTATCTAAGGCACTAAGAACAGTGCCCACCTGTTAAGAAATGCTCAGTAAATGCTTACTTTTTAGGGTTGGGGTTGTGCCTCAGCAGTAGAGCACTCACCCAGCAAGTGCAAGGCCCTGGGTTCGATTCTTAGCACCACACAAAAATAAATAAACAAATGTATATTAAAAAAATAACTTCAAAAAAAATGCTTACTTTTGGGGCTGGGGATGTGGCTCAAGCGATAGCGTGCTCGCCTGGCATGCGTGCGGCCCGGGTTCGATCCTCAGCACCACATTCAAAAAAAGATGTGGTGTCCGCCGAAAAACTAAAAAAAAAACATTAAAAAAAATTCTCTAAAAAAAAAAAAAAGAAATGCCTACTTTTTAAAACATTGTAAGCAAACACAGGGTTTGAAGATGTTCACTCAACCCAGGCTCCTTGGTGGAGATCTCCAGGCTTGAGAGAGCTCCCTGGCCACTGCCACTGAAGGCCAAGCCCTTCTGGCCTTTCCACTCTCTTTTCACCAGCTTCCACCAAGACAGGACACCTGCCTACCTGCCTGCCCCCTCACCTACCAGCTCCCCTAGAAGAGATCCAAGTGAGGGACATAGGCCTCGTCAGGAACATACCGTCTATTCGTCAGCAGCTCTCTCCGTTCTGCTGTCCAAGAGTTAGCCCTCGGTTCTCTGCATCCCACAACCCCTCCACTTCCTCTAGCCAAGAGCTCCTGAAACCAGAGAAGGGAAGAAAGTGGAAACCAGGTGTCAGCGCCTATCTGTCAGTGCCACAGGCCTGCTTGCCCAGTTCAGGACTTAGAAGGCCCCAGGGAAAGCCAGGCAAGGACATCAAACAGTGGTCTTGAGGGAGAAGTGGTAGAGGCAGATGATGACTGAGACACTGGGTTCCCTCCTTTCTCCAGACAAGACATCTCTCTTCACACAACTTCATGGTCCCAGCCTACCATGTGCCTGACTCTGGAATAGGTTGGATTCTGTCCTGTCCCTATCCCCACCTTGCAGCTGTCCTATTCATCTCCCAGGCCTCTCAGAGTCTGGAAACAAGAGATTTAGGGAACATGGGTTACAATCAATAACACAATGAAAAAGCCTAGCAGAGATACAAGAAGATGGGCAGAGAAGATGCTGGAAAGGGAGTTCCTGAACTATTTCACAATGAACCTAAAGATCACTTCTGTGTAATGGTGGTCAACAGACTTGGCAATGAGGAAAGGTAGGTCCAAGAAATAAAATCTGAAAGGCAGTAATTTAGACAATTTTGCTCACCTTCTTCCCCTGAGGACATCTGGCAAATATCTGGAGACACTTTTGGTTGTCAAAATCTGGAGGGCTGGGGTTGTGGCTCAGTGGTAGAGCGCTCACCTAGCACGTGCAAGGCTCCTCAGCACCACATAAAAATAAATAAATAAAATAAAGATATTGTGTCCAACTAAAAAAAAAAAAAAAAAAAAAAATTAAAACTGATGGAGGTGTGTACTACTGGCACCTAGTGGGTGGAGGTCAGGGATGCTGCTAATCATCCCACAATGCACAGGACACCCCAACAAAGCATTATCAACAGCAAGGGTCGGCAGTGCTCAGGTTGAGAAACACTGCTACAGAAAACCCCAGCAGGGAAGCTGAGACCTCTAGTTCCAGGCTCAGAGCTACTCTGGCACACTGTGGATCTCTGGCTAACTCCCTTCCTCAATGTATAAACCTGCTCCGCATCTACGCCGATGTGGCTCCACAAAGTGACCTGTGAGGTCCCCTCCAGGTTTTGTGTTTCCAAGATCTACCCAGTGCCCTTCCTGGCTCCCATCTGTAATAAACTAGGCTACAGCATGGGGGCAGTAGCCACCACAGTGATCCATGGAGGTAGTAACCTTAGGTGGCCTTCTGGGCATAAAAAACAATCTCTTCCCACCCCCATCAACCTAAACAGAGCTGGGGGCAGAGGGAAGCCTTGCAGGCTAAAGCATGTGTTCCTACTGTCAGGACATGTCCTGGCCAGGACTCCAACAGGGCCTGGGGCAGGAAGAATGGGGTGGGGGCAGGGAGGGCGGGAAAGCAGTAGTCTCTCTTCTGTCTGGTCCCTGGTCTGGGGTTTTGGGGGGAGCTGGGGTGTGGCAGCACAGGCACGAGCCGCCAGCCTCCACCCCTCTTATGAGAGGCAAAAACGTGTCCCCACAGGGTATAGGCAGCATGCTCTGTTGGGCTGACTCCCTACACAGGAATCCAGGCGGGCCTGAAAGGACAGTACATTCCTGGAGTGTGGGGGAGCAAACAAGTCACTGCCACATGTGCCCTGAGGCTGCCCCTCCAGAAGCCCTGGAGTTTGGGCTCCCATGGCCTGAGGAGAAGCCCACAAAGTACCAAAGCAGCCTGAATACCCTGACCCTGATACTCAGTGGATATATGTGTGGATGTGCATACTGAGTTGGAAAACGAAAGGGCCAGGGACACAAGAATAAGACAGGCAGTTGAGAGCTTATAGAAACCCAAGGTAGTGGAGCTGGGGTTGTGGCTCATTGGTAGAGTGCTTGCCTAGCATGCACAAGGCACTGGGTTCGATCCTCAGTACCACATAAATGTAAAATAAAGATACTGTGTCCACCTAAAACTTAAGAATAAATATTTTTTAAAAAAAAGAAAAGAAAGAAATAAACCCAATGTAGTAGGGCTGGGATTACAGCTCAGTGGTACAGCACTTGCCTAGCATGTGTGAGGCCCGGGGTTCGATTCTCAGCACTACTTATAAATAAATGAATAAAACAAAGATCCATCAACAACTAAAAAAATATATGTATTTTAAAAATTAAAAAAGAAAAAGAAACCCAGTGGAAGGCTCCCAGAAGTTAGTCTCTATATCTCCCTCCTTTCCAGAGGAACTAGGTCGCTACATTCTTCCCCCTTTCCTCCTTGGTCAGCTAAGGTGCCCCTTTCACCTGACATTCTCCTCCTTTCTCTATTCTCAGCCTCTTCTTTACTTTCCTATCCTTATTCCTGCCAAGGCTCACGCTATCCTCTAGGTACCAGAACACTTGTGTGAATGGTGGAGTGGGAGTGGGGGCAGGGAGGACATGGATATGCCCAGGTACCTGATAACCTTACCTGCAGGCAGAGCTGCCTCACTGCAGGCCCCACACATAATATAGTTCATCCCACCTCAGACCTTAAGATCCTCCTCCCAGCTAAGCACACATTTATTTCTATGGCTTCTCTAGCTAGGAACATCTAGCTTGCTGAATAGAGAACAGTGTGGGTACAGCTGGCAGTGAGATGGGCAGTAAATGCAGACAGGGAGTCTGGGGGTGCAGGGTGTGGTGAGAGGTTGTTTTCTCCTAGCCAGGGCCTACTCTCATCAAACATGCCACAGTCACAGGATGGGGAACACTCCTAACCAAGGAAGCAGAAAGTAATGCTCATGGGAAAGACAATATATTGGGGCACCTGCAGTATTCTCCAACCCAAGTCCACCAGGGAGATCTGTGCCACTCCCTGCCCCCTGTCCATAAATACCAGGGCATGTTGGGACACCAGGCCCTAGCTCTAACTCCTAAAATCTGCTAAGTGCCTCAGATCCAGTCAACAAGAGGCTCATAATTCCGGCACAGAAAAGGAACACAAAGGGCCAGGCAGCCCACTCTTCTAGACTGAAGAACAGACCCAAGGAAGAGTGAGAAACAGCTGGAAACCAGGTTTCCCCAAGATGAGAAAAGACAAAAGGGATGAACTGGTGGCATTGGAATAGTACCACCAGGAAGACTCCACTAGCCACATCCCCTTCATCCAAAAGTTTCCCAGGTTGCTCTGGAGTATTTCAGCCTGAGGAGGACTCCCAATCCTGTGCTGAGGTCTCCAGGGAAAGCAGCAGGACAAACTAAGAATGGGCCACGGGCTGGGACAAGCAAGCTGCAGCCAAATGTAGCTTCTGGGGCCTCTTGGCCTCTAGGTGCTGAGTGGGGCTCCAGGGTGCCACCAAAAAAAAAAAAAAAACGGTCTTCTAGAAGGTCTGGCAATAAATAGGGAAGCGTCCCTCTCCCATGCCCATCCAACTCACCTGAGTCTCAGGGAATTGGGGCAGATGACCCAGGATGTGAGGTTACCAAGTTGTGCTGGGTCTCTATTATAATAGCTGTGCCCTCAGAGAAGGGCTGAGGCCTTTCCAGGTGGGAACCCTGGGTGACTGGATCTGGCTTGGGGCACCTTCAGATCGACCTGCCAGCACTGTTGATGGAGACACCCAGGGTAGCAGCCACCCCTCCCCATCCCCTGAAGGTGAAGTGAGCCGAAAAGGGGCTCTCCTAGTCCCTCACCACCCCTACTCCACCCTTCCTCAGCTCCACCTCCTTCCTCTGCTTCATGGCACTCATTTTTCACTTAACTCAAAAATCAGTTCGGAAGGAAAGAGTATCTCATATCTGCTGGGGCCAGGGCAAGGGGTGGGGGTGATAGCTTCCTAATTGCCATGTTGCAATCTGCCGCCTGTTGCCGCCTGCCCCGTATTAAATACCTTTTCCCTGATTACAGCCCATGGGGCACGATTAGTTGCCTTCAGAGAACAAAGTCGACTTTCATTAGAAATGGGACTCAGCATGCACAGGAACCTGCACTATGAACCCACTGAACAGCTGAGCAGAGTACAGAGATAGATGGAAGGCATAATCTGTACCAGAAGCTGGCTGAGCAGTGTTCTTTACTCAAAGGACAAAAAAGTGTGCCAAGCTTCATCTAGCCAGACGGGATTCACACCTGCCCCCTTCTGTGGATATGTGCATATGACTGGGGCTTCCATTGTAGCCAGAGATGGCTACCGCTGGAGTTGAAGTGGGATAAGAGAAAAACCTCTCAGAATCCTGATTCTTTCCAAACCCCTATCCTTACTACTCCTCCCAGCAAACATCCTCTCAGGAGGCAACAGGAAAAAGGTTCAAGCACAAGAGGCACATGGATGCTCTCCCACTCCCTCTGCGGTCCTTTCTGGGATCTGCCCAAGGCCTAGCAAAGTACAGGAGAGGAAGGAGGTCTGAGTATGCGGCTGCAGTCTGCCCACTGAGGTCTCAGAGGCCACCTCTACAGTGGCCCAGGAGAGGGAGACAGGAACAAATCCACAATGGATGTGGCTTTTTAGATTTTCAATCTTCCCTCTTCAAACATCTCCAGCTCCCCCAGAACATCTCTGCACTACCACACTGCATAACTCCACTGACCCAGGATCAGCTGCCCCACAGGGACCGACTGGCTCCCTACTACCCACGTCACCAGCCCCTCCTTTAAGATATTATGCCCCAACAGTTTATCTGGGCTCAGAGCATTTCTGAATCTACTGATAAGCCTTTCTGCTCACAGATATCAATAATTCAAGCAAGCAAAGGGTCAATGCACCCAATCTTCTGACTCAGGGAAAATCACTAGAACTCTTCTTCAAAAATCACTAGAACTCTTCTTCATAATTCAAATAAGGTACAACGTAGGCTAGTAATTACTACTGCTTTTGAAATGAAAGGAAAAGCAGCCTCATTGCAGAACTTGCTGGGTATGCTGTGTGTTGCCTATTCCCTCCAAACCAGCAAGAGATAAATAAACCACATAAGCCCTTCCAAAAGCCCCTCATCAAACACTAAAACACAACTAGTCCAATCACACAGAGAATGGGGCCAACTCAGGAACTGCTCTGAGTCTTAAGCTTTGATGTGGAGTGGGAGGTGCACACCTTTGTGGGGTAGGATAACCCTTCCCACAAAAGCCTGGCTGCTTCTTGAGCCTCTGAAATTCAAGCTCTGCCTCCAACTGAAGTCCAAAAAACAAACCACCATCTTGCAAGGGCCAGCCCTGTGATCAAGTGACCCAACAGTGGTCTGTGGATTGCTTATGAAGATTGCCACCATCCTGTGCCACAATATAGTCCCTCTCCACCCTGACTGCCTGTATAAGAGGCAGAACAGTTCCCCCAGCATGGCAAGCTGATCCTAGGAAAGCTGGGTTCAGCCATCTCCAGTCTCCCCCTGGTGCCCCTCCCACTTGCCACCAGCCCCCAGTTTCCGGCCTGCAGCTGTTCCTAAGATACATGAGCAAAGCCCTCAGCAATCCTGGGCACGTGGCAGGCAGGCAGCCAACAGTTCATGGGGTGGGGCCTGGGCAGAGGTTCTGCTCAGGTTAGATGAGTAGGATGGAAGATGCCAGTCTGTGCCCGGACCAGCTCTTCTGCTCCTCCAACAACTATGCCTACCACCCCTCTGGGCAAGTACAACCTCACCCTCTTGGGACCAGCTGCCTGCAGTCCTTTCCTGGCTCTCTGCCTACTCTAAAGTGAACAGACTGACAAGGTTTTGAAAGCCAAAGGACAGTAATCATTCTGCCCCGAGAATAATCCTGAGGATTCAGCACTAGTACTAGTGAACTGTGAGAGCTCATCTGGCTCACCACCTGAGCAAACACCTCTAGTCTATCTACCTGACCCTCAGCTAAGCACACACTTAATAGGAACAAAACAGTTAAAGGCTTGATGATGGTCCAAGCTCCCCACAATAAAGGGAGAACCAAAAAGTCCCTGAGTTCACAGCCAGCAGCTGACATTATTCTCAATGCCTTTTCTGTATGAATGTCCCTAAACCAGGCCTCACTAGAATCACTAAAGCTCTTTTCATAATTCAAAGAAGGTACAACTCCAGGTCTTTTCTGCTTTCCTGATCAGAGGTAGGCCCAAAATCCCTCCAGCTTGCTAAAAAAAAAAATTCCCTGCACCCCTTCCATTTATACACAACCACCCCAAGCTATTAGTCAGGTCCCTGCCTTCTCCCTCCCAGCCCAACAGGAACAGAGTCCATCTCAAGGGCCTGAGAGCCTCCAGCTCCCCTGGCCAGCCTGCCCAGCACTACACTGCCTCCAGAGCCTAGAAACAGTCTTTCTAAAGAGCTGTACAGATCAGCAGAAAGCACCACGCAGCTGGCCTTCCCGATATCTCCAGAACCCTCTTTCCCTCTCAAGCCTGGAGGAAGAAAGGCTCCCAAGGGTGGAAGCCTCTCTATGCCAGTCAGCACTCATCAATCTCCCACTGAGGCCAGGACCTTTTCTGGGCACAATGTGGAGTCCAAAGCCAAGTCTTGCCTCTCTGGCTGAGGCGCCCTTCTCAGCACTTCTCGGCTAAAGTCCACCTGAAGTTCCAAATGTGGAAGTAGGCAGGGGCCCCAACTCTACCAGCTCCACCTCCCAGAGTGACAGTCGCCAATGGGAGTTATATCTCAGACAGGTACCTGGTTCTGGGTTCCAGCTTTCAGTTAAAGTAGCTTTTATTTTCTGCCCAGGGACATTCCCAGTGCCCCGGCAACATTCTACTCAACCTCTCCACCCAGAAGAGAACCTGGCAGTTGATCCTAACTTCTTATCCTACTATGAGAGTAATGGAGACACTCTCCAATCTTCTGCTCTTGACAAAAGGAGGAAATGCTTGGTCTAAAGAAAAATATCGTTCCATCTAGCTTCAGCTGTACATGATGCATGAGCAGCAGAAGCAGCATGGTAACCAGGGGATACCTCAAACTCTGCGGTGCTAAAAGCATAGACTGAATGGAAATTCCATCCAATTCTGTTTTGAAAGAGAACCGAGGAGCACAGTACTGAGGGGAGTGGGAAAGGGGTGCTGAAGAGTCCAGCAGCAGGCTGGCAGATGGGCAGGTGATATATACAGGACAGCTCACTGTCCTGGCCATGAAAGGGGACACATCCCCACCCACAGCTGGGAGATTGGGAGATGACACCAAATAAGCTAAGGAGAGGAGGCAGTTAGGTTGGGGAAAGAATGGAGGAGAGACACTGCTGGTGATACCCCAGGGTGGGTTAGCTGGCCAAGGTTAGACTCACAGGGTTAGTGTCTTCTCCCCAACCAGCCAGCTCTCCTGGTTATTGCTGTTAGTGACAGACTCATGGCAGACGCCCTCCAGGCACTCCATATAAACAGACAGCTTGGTTTGTGAGCAGCCCAACTCCGGAGCTGCAAAGAGAGAGCAAAGGAAGGGCCAAGCTGTGGGATGCCCGCAGGTGCACACAGCACTCTCCAGTGTATTGCAGAACCACCTCTGGATTCACTACCTGACCCTTCAGAGCTTTGTGCCACCCAGAAAGGAAGCCAGGTAAAGCAGAACACTCTGCCAGCTCGCTGAGCCAGGCAACAAGCTTCTGATTGTTCAAAAGAAAGAAAAAAGCCAGGCACTGTGGTGCACTCCTGTAATACCAGCAATTCAGGAGGCAGAGACAGAAGGAACACAAGTTGGAGGCCAGCCTCAGCAACATACCAAGTGACCCTGCCACAAAATAAAAAATAACAAGGGCTAGGACGGAGCTCAGTGGTAGAGCACCCCCAAATTTTTAAAAATAAAAAATAGAAAGAGAAGACATCTGTTATGGAAGAGAACACAGTTCCCAGTCTCTCTATTCCCTAGTCGCTGATGCCAGGCTGCACTAGGACTCTGAATACTGGGTCATAAGAACAAAGCCCCCACAGCTGCAGCTGCCACCCGTCTCATGCCTGTGCCAGCACAGTGCATCCCACTACCTCCCACAGGCTCTGAGGGAAGGGGCTAGGAGAGAACCAGCTGAGGACCAGAGGCTGTGACAAGAGCTATATGGGAAAGCACAGCACAATGGAGTAGTGTGTGACCCAGCCTAGAGCAGGGTCAGTCAAAGGAAGGGGTGGCACACTGCCACTTAACAGTTTCTGAGAGGGCCAGGGGGATGGCACTTCCCAGGCAACCATCTTGCAGAGCAAGGATGAAGGCTACTGCCAGGCTCCCCAGACTCCAATAGGGGCTATTCTCCCCTCTCAGAAGGAGTAATGCAGAGGGTGGCTAGTCTGCCCAACACAGCAAGCTGGAGAACAGTAGCAACTCTTTCCTTAAGATTCCAGAGGCACCAGGAAGAAAGTGACACACATCCCAGTTTAGAAAACGCAAGGCAAATGCCTCCACAGCAGTGGAGTCCTACAGGATATGTCCTCTGGGGCAACAGGACAGGAAATGTACAGCACACATTCCTGCAAACACAAGGAAAGCCAGGAAAGGGGTTCTCTTCCCTATTCTAGGAAACCCTGTAGGCTCTGTGATGACGCTGGTGAAAAGGGAAGACTAGTTACCACCCCAACCCCATGCATGGGCCTGTCCTTCTCCCAAGCCCAGGGTCAAGATTCATGAAGGCAAGAAAATCCTCTAATAGGCTCTTCAACTGCCCACCTGTGGGAGGCCAACCTTACGGGTGACTGAGCTACACTCCCCAGCTGGATGCTGAGGCACTCAGTCACAGAAATGGGTGTGTCTTGCTACAGCCCCATGGGTGAAGCTATGCTCACCTGTTCATTTGTAATATAACCCCTTGCCCTGTTTAGGATAGAATCTTCCATGGAAGTGCCTTGTGTGTGTCCCCTCCTCTTACTGTGCCCCTGGGTGTGGCCTACCCAGGTGTCAGTCAACCTGCTGACAGTGGACATCATGAAGATAGACTCAGCCCCTGAAACCTGATCCCTTGCCTCATTTGAATAGCTTCTCCTCAATAAAAGGGGTCAGCGTGCTCTCGCGCTCTCTCTCTTTCTGCAGACCCTTAAGAGGTCCCTCAGAGGAGCCGTCACAGCAACCCCAAAGAAAAAGGTATTTGTGTCTCTTGTGTGGTTATTTCGTGCAGCCCAGTTAGCCCAGTTTAACTAGAGTGATCTCTGAGCCTTTTAGTCGCAAGAACAGAAACCCGGCACCCACCAAGTGGGATCCCTGTATATGTTTAACTATAGTCCCAGAGCCCAAAATGACCAAGGTGTTACTTAGACAAGAGACAACCATCTATAGGATAGACACAACTCTTCTATAGGCCCTGACCATTTTCCTAGACTCATTAGAAAACCCATCTACTGATAGGCGACCTTCAAAACCCTCACTCTGAAAAGATCTAAGAACTCTAAAAAAAAACCAGTCAGACAAGGTTTGCTTTCAAATGGTAGATGCAGCAAGTAACCTGGATAATTCAGTTTTAGAAGTCAGGGCCTCTTGCTACACTGAAACAGCAAAAGGGAGCCAGCCCTAGAAGACCCCCTATGCTAGGGAGGACACTCTACCAGGCTACCCAGAGGCTCCCACAGGGTCTAATCTACTCCTGGGCAACTTAAGAGAACAGAGCAGTGGAAGAACAGGATGCATTAGTACTGGGGTGTATTTGTTTTTAAAGGTGATAAGTGCTGAGGAATGTCTAGAAGAATACAAAAATGACTAGAAACTTCTCAGTGATAAATGATGAATACTGGTTCCCTATCATTAGGGAAGGGGATTAGGAGCAGTGGGAACTAAAGGGAGGGTCTTATTTTTTAATTTTGTTTATTTTTCTGTAGGATTGGTATTTTTCTACAAGAGATATTTATTGTGTTTATGATGAAAAGCAACAGTCCCTAGACAGACAAAACTCCTCCATCTATACTACATTTTACCATTCTGGAAACAGTGTCACTTCCACTGTATTTCTGTTGATTCTTACAGAACAGCTGGATTTCTCCCATTTCAGGTTCAGAGAAAACAAGTAGCTTGCCCAAAACAAGGGCAGTACTGGGACAGAACCCTGTCCTGTCTTTAATTCCACTGCAAAGCACAGAAAACTGACCTGTCCAGTCAGTTAGTATGCACTCTGCTGGCACAGGCATGAGTCAGCCACTGGCCAATTCTGCCCTCATTGCAAGACCCTCAAAAGTTTTAAGGTTGAATTCCCCATCAGGCAGACTGAGATGGTATAGAGACCAGTGCTCAGAAACTCAAATATTAGCTCAGAGTTCCATCCTACTAATTAGCTGAGTGGAATACTAGGGCTTGGGAGGTCTACTCTGACTTCCCAGGAGGAAGACCCTCCCTTCTCAGGAGATAGTGCCAAGTTCCCTGATCCAGTTCACTGGAAGAGCACAGAAATTTCTCACAAAGAGGGGGCCACGTCCTTTACAGATTTTACTGTCATCTAGTAGACCGGTGGTACTTCTAAGACAGTAACCAACAATGCTGTCCCTTTCTAGTGCTCAGAGCCAGTCCAAGAGAAACTTGGTCCTTCTATTTATTTTATTTTATTGGTACTGGGGATTGAATCCAGGGGTGCTTTACCACTGAGCGACATTCCCAGTCCTTTTTAATTTTTATTTTGAGACTAAATTGTAGAGGTTAGCCTTGAACTTATGATCCTCCTGCCAGTCTCCTGAGTTGCTGGGATTACAGGTGTGTGCCACAATGCCTTAGCTAATGAGATCCAGTCCTTCTGAGGCCTAAATGCACACAACACAATCCAGTCAGACTAGCTGATCCAACCTCCTCTCAGGTCTGCTTAACAAACAATGCAATTTATCACTCCCACCAAGACCCATCAGCAAAGCTATGCCACTATGCAACGCATACTCCCACACTGAGAGACAAAGGGTAGAGCCCAGGGGAAATTTCTTCACTTCACTTTTAGCTATTGGTTTCATCCTTTTGATTCAACTGGGCATTGATAAAAGTTGTAGTTATCCCCGTCCCCCCACAAGCAGCCCCATCCCCCCCAAGCAGTGAGCACACCTAGTTGGGACTATCCATACAACTCAGCAGGTTGCCTCGGCACTGAAAGGCCTTAAAGAATAACAGAGGAGGCCAGCAAGACTTTTAGGAGATGTTAATTAAGGAAGAAAAACTACCTCCTCTTTTAACCCCTTCCTGCTGGCACAGGAGCCTTTTATTAGAAAATAAAAAGGCTAGAAGGAAAGAGAGTTGAATCCAAGCACCTGGCAGATCATTTAACCACATGAATTCAATGCTAGAAAATAATTAGTAACAATATTGTTAACACTATCACCTTTTGTTTATGCAAGACCTTCCTTCCTGACCTCAAAAGGCTTTGCCAGGGAGATCCTGTATACTTTAATCTCACCCAGGAGGATGGGCTGGGTCACACAGGATAGCTCGGCACTAGGACCTCAATGCTCAGCCTTCGATCAGCGATACGAAGCGTTGGATTCTATCTCAGCACCACATAAAAATATAAATAAATAAAATAAAGATATTGAGTCCAACTACAACTAAAAAAATATTAAAAAAAAAAAAAAGTAGCAGCAGCAGCAGCTTCAGAGACAGATTTACACTACAATGAGGTAAGTGCTCTGTGATCACAGAGATGCACCCAGCTGGGGCAGGAGTTTAAGGACCAAACTAGAAAGCAGTCCTGTAGAGGACTCACATATCTTCCTCATCTCACTGCAAGCTCATACTGGAGTACTACCTGGCATTAATTATACAAATAAGAGGTCTAGTAGATACAGTGGCACATGCCTTTATAATCCCAGCTAGGAGAGAGGCTGAGGCAGGAGGATCTAAAATTCAAGGCCAACCTGGGCAACGTGGTATGGGCTGGGAAAAGAAGACACTTAAGAAATCTAAACCTCTGCAAACAAATTCCTTTGTTATTTGTTGGGGACTGCTGCCCTGAGGACTAGCCCAATCAACTACACTAGAAACTAAAAGGAAAAAAATGGATTGTGACTCTCAGTTACAAATCCTATTCTTGTGGAGAATCCGAGTTAAGCCTATTCATGACACAAGAAGACCATCAAAGCCATAAGAAAATTGGGGCCAAGAAGCCTGGCTTCCTCAATGCCTGCATGTGTTCCATGAGTGTCACCTAATACTTTTCAATCCATAAAATATCAAGGAACATGGTCCGAAACACTCCATCCAGTCATCCACTGCATGCAGCTTTCGGTCTACTCAGTCTTATTTACATTATGAACACACATCTACCAGCCTTACTTGTACCCACTAGGAATTCAACCAGGTCTGCTCAGCTCCAAATCAGACTATCACACTGCTCATAGCACCTCCTGCACCAACTCCCCTACCCAGGATCAGGAGAGTTGCTACGCCACAGGAGGTTAGCCAAGTGAAAAACAAAGTGAACAGAGAACTTAGGACTCAATATGTTAAGTGCCAGAACAGAGTTCAAACCAAGTGCTGCTGGGAGTCAAGGAAAGGAAAACAAGGAAGGCTTCTCACTGGAGGAGGCAAAGGAGCTGGGTCTTAGCAGATGAGCAGTTTGAGACAGAAGGATTATGGACAAAGCAAGGTACACAGGCAAAGAGGAATAAAATAAATGATGGCCATAATAAGTTGGAGAGCAGTGAGAAATTTAGGGGCCCTGAAGCACAGAACAGATGAGGTGGAGTGGCAACACCTCAGATTAAAGGACTGCTCTTGGGCCAGAATGTAAAGAGCCTTTTGCATGCCAACATCAAGAATATGGACTTTAACTTAAATAAGGGAGAACCCACAGTATTTCTAAGGAAAGAGGGTTTTTTGTTTTGTTTTTTCAGAGGTACAGAAGTTTATTTAGAAAGTAGATATGCATTCAAGGGAGAATACGGCTTATCTTCAGAAGGAAAAGCCAAGAATTTTTAATAGGAAAGGGTTTTTTTGGGGGGGAGGGGAACGGGAGGGGAGGTTGTACCAGGAATTGAATTCAGGGCCACTGAGCCATATCCCCAGCCCTATATCTTGTATTTTATTTAGAGACAGGGTCTCACTGAGTTGCTTAGCCCCTCACCATTGCAGAGGCTGGCTTTGATTTTGCTATCCTCCTGCCTCAGACTCCTGAGCTGCTGGGATTACAGGCATTTGCCACTGCGCCCAGCCAGGAAAGTAATTTTGACAGCAGCATGAAAGACAGATTGGAGGGGGAAAAGAATGCCCACCACGTTTCAATCATTCTGCATGTACTACAATATTATAAAGTACCTATTAAATGCCCAGCATCATCCTAAATGCTAGAAATACAGTAGTAAATGAGACACAGTCACTGTTCTAAGGGCACTTACAGTCTTGTGAGAGTCAGACAAGTAAACAGGCAAATAAGATATAGCAGTATTAGAAGCAAGTACAGAAGAGGAGCCTTAAAGGTAGGTTGGGTACTAAAGAAAATGTTTTAGTCAGCTTTTGTGTTGCTGACCAAAATTGTTCCTGACCTTAAAAGAACTACTTAAGAGGGGGGAAATTTTATTTGGGGCTCACAATTTCAGAAGCCTCAGTCCCCAGATGTCTGACTCCATTGCTCTGGGCCCAAGAGGAGGCAGCACATCACAGGGGAAGGGCAGAGCAGAGGGAAGTTGCTTCTCTCATGGCAGCAAAGAAGCAGGGAGAGGGGAAGGGGCCATAGGACAGATGTACCCTTCCAGGGCACCCCTCCAGTAACCCACCTTTGCCAGCCATTCCCATCTGCCTACAGTTATCACCCAGACAGCCCATTCAAACTAGGATGGGCTGATTAGGTTACAGTTCTCACAATTCAAACATCTTACCTCTGAATATTCCTGCATTAACAAGAGATTTGGGGGGACACCTCATATCGGAACCATAACAGGAAGACACATTTTAAACTGAGACCTAAAGGACAAAAAAAGGAAGGTTAACAGAGATTACAGGTCAGGAAATGCAGACAGTAGCACCTGTGTGTGCAAGGGCCCAGAAACTAGAAATAACAAGCAAAGTTTAGAGAGCTGTTAAGAGGATGGATCCATGTAAGAAATGAAGGCTCAGCTGCAGAGATCCTTGGCACTTCAAATACAGTTCCAAGGAAGAAGTGAAGGAATCAGATTCAAAGATAATGCCTGAATGAGGGGCACTATGAGAAGAAATTGATTTACGCAAAAACAAAAATGGTATAAGGGGACAAGTGGCTCAAAATCCATCAGTCCCCATCCTGTAATTCAATTATTTGCTAAAATGTGACCTGAGTCCAGAAAGTCTGAAGACATCTACTAAAACACACAGTTATACTCTAGGAAGATAACACATTTCAGTATGCTGACTGCAGGACATTATTCTGGGATGCATGGTTTCTAAGTTAACAGAGAAAGGGAGCAAGACCAACAAGATACCACAACAAATAGAAAAATTTACTAGAAGGCTGGGCCAGAGTTCCCAGGGAAATCCCAAAGTCCTGGGCCCCCAACTCCCTTGAAATCAGGTTAGGACAACCAGAAACATGCCTACTCTGATAGCAGGGTAGAAAGTCATTTATTGAAGAAAAAGATGGGCCTGAGGGCATGTTAAGTAGACAGAACATGACTCAGAAGAACCAGTCTTAAATACAGGGCAAATGAAAACCAGTCAATCAAACCCTGGCACACCTCTGCCCCCAGTTTGCATGCAGCCTCCGCCTTGCTAAAGGGAAAGAGACTTGAGCACAACCAGGGCCATTATCAGACAACATAGGCTTCAGCAGAAGCACATCTGTTTTCCATTTCACCTTATGCTGAATGGAGGAAGCTGTTTAAAATGTCTCCTTTTTTTCTCCTGTGTAGGTTGCTATTTGCTATTTTTAAAAGAAAGACTATATCCAGACTGTCTATGAATTTAATACTATAGAACTGCTCTTATCAGTAATCAGTCAAAAATAAGCCTATGTTCACATCTATCTTATCACAGACACCCCCACCCGGCCTCCTTAAAGGCAATTTAGAGTGGATTTGAGTCTGTTCGCTCAACCCAGCCCAAGGTTTTCCAAAGGGCAGTCACCAAGTTGAATCATGAACAGAGAGCCCAGATTTTGCTAACACAGCAGAGCCACTGTCCCTGCACCAGTTATTATTTCTGAGAACAAGACGGCTGTGATGAAGAACTTGGACTTTCCCCCCACAAAATTTTAAATTAACCAAAAAAAAAATTTCACTATAATATAGTTATACATCTAACCATCAATACAGTCAAAGAGGAACCAGGATATAATGAAACAAAAACAAAAACAAAAAAATACAAATTGGCATTAAGCATACTTAAAAGTCAACTTCACTAAGCAGGTTGCCCATAGTCCCAGTAGGAGGATGTTTAACCCAAGAGTTATTGGCTAGCTCAGCATCATAGCAAGACCCCATCTCAAAAAAAAAAAAGTAGCCTGGCACTGCTGGGCACTCCTGTAATCCCAGCAACTCTGGAGGATGAGGCAGGAGGATTAAAAATTCAAAGCCAGGGGCTGGGGATGTGGCTCAAGCGGTAGCACGCTCGCCTGGCATGCGTGTGGCCCGGGTTCGATCCTCAGCACCACATACAAACAAAGATGTTGTGTCCGCTGAAAACTAAAAAATAAATATTAAAAAATTCTCTCTCTCTCTCTTAAAAAAAAAAAAAATTCAAAGCCAGCCTCAGCAACTCAGTGAGACCCTGATTCAAAAAAAAAAAAAAAAGGCCTTGGATATATCTCAATGGTTAAGTGCCCCCTGGGTCCAAGGTTCAATTCCCTGTACAAAAAAAAAAAAAAAGATAATATCATACCAATCAAAATAAATAAATAAATAGTTCAATTGTTACAGCCAAATTGCCTGGGTTCAAATCTCAGCTCTGCCACTCATTAACTGGGTAACCTTGAGCAAATTCCTTAACTACTCTGTGCCTCCATTTTCTCATCTGTAAGACAGAGATAACAGTATCCACTTCTATGATTTATAAAAATTTGTTAAGACATGTAAAGTGTTCACAACAGTGCCAGACACACAGAATGTGCTTGATAAGCACCATTATTATCGCTCAGCTACAAAAAACAATTCCACAGCCTCACAGTTTCAAACAGGAAGTCACTGTCATTTTAACATCACTTTAAATAACTTAATAAGAATATTCTCGGGGCTGGGGATGTGGCTCAAGCGGTAGTGCGCTCGCCTGGCATGCGTGCGGCCCGGGTTCGATCCTCAGCACCAAGTACAAACAAAGATGTTGTGTCCGCCGATAATTAAAAAATAAATATTAAAATTCTAAAAAAAAAAAAAAGAATATTCTCACTACACACACACACACACACAAAAAAAAAATCTATACTATCCAAAAGCTGTGCCTCATCTCTCTAACATCAGGTTAGCAGCCCAAACTAGTACAGATCCTCCACAGAGACAGCAGGTTCAACCATGAAGTAAAAATTAGGATTTAGTTCTGACTATCATAACAATTAATGCTCATAACGTATCAGGCACTGATACACTAATGCATTCACTTGTTTAATGCTCACAATGACCAATGAGGTAGGTACTCTTACCCTCCACATTGATCAGTGAGAATCTGAAGCACAGAGAACTATGCAATTAATAAAGGATATATAGCTAAAAATTGCTATTAGAATTTGAACTGCACACTCTGGTTCTAGAGACAGTTCTCTTTAAATCTTCACCACACTGTTCCAGCTGATAACAATTTCCAAGGAGGCATCTACAATTGCCTTCATAAAAAGAAGGTTCTCAGTTTTTTAGAAGTGGAAGTGCAAGTAACCATCATCAGTTCTGCATATACCTAAAGGTTTTGAAGTTGGCTTAGTAATTGCGATTTGTGGTGTTCTGAATAAAACTTTGGTGGAGAGTGGGCTGTGCAGAGAGCAAGAGATGGTTAGTGAGGAGTTCTAGATCAAACCAGACCAATTGTGAAGCAGAAGCTGGTCCTGAAGCAGGCTCCAGTAAAAAGCCCACGCCGTGAGATAACTATAGGGCACCAATCTCCAACACCAAATCCTGTATCTCTCAGGTCATGTTTATTTCAGCTAGTAAAACTGAATTTTTTTCTTTTCTTTTCCTTTTTTTTTTTTTTAATTTGATGGAGATAATACAAAGAAAAGGAAAACTACTAGAAAGGGCAAGCTCCACAATCCGTTCCTTCCTTTACTTCACTGGTCCACCTGTAAAGCAAACCTCAAGGCATTTCGGGATAGAGACCAAGGTGATAAAATTCCCAGAACTTGACACAGTGCAGTTTGACCCCCTACCATAAGCACATCTGGGTTTCTTTTCCCTACTTCCAAACTGCCTTTCCCTCATCTCTAACAACACTCCCACCAATCCACTTCCCAAGGAATACAAATAACCCCTTCTTACCACAAGTGCAAAAGTAACATGTAGCAAGAATGAATTCAGGCCTGGCATGGTGGGGCATACCTGTAACCCTAGCAGCTCAGGAGGCTGCAGTAGGAGGATCACGAGTTCAAAGCCAGCCTCAGCAACTTAGCAACAAGGCCCTAAGCAACTCAGTAAGATCCTGTCTCTAAATAAAATACAAAAAAAAGGACTGGGGACATGGCTCAGTAGTTAAGTGTCCCTGGGTTCAATCCCTGGTTTAAAAAAAAAAGAATGAATTCAGGACCAACAGCAGGTACCTAAATGGTCAGTGAACAACATCAGTTGCTCCCCACCATCTGTTACCCACAAATCATTTCCAGGCAGAACGTCAAATTTAAGGTATTATGGGAAAACAGAAGAAGAAACTGCTCGTGTAGGAAACTGCTTGTGACAGGGATGTGTTACAATACTTTCAGCTTGTTCTTTAGGTCCTTGTCCAGATTTCCTCGCACAGATGAAGGCACTCAGGCTCAAGTCTACACCAACTCTCAAAAGGCAACCTGTGATCTAAGCAAAACACTAACTTAGGGACCACACACAAAGAACAATCTCTATAGAAGAGCAACCCTCTCAGATTAAATGATTCCCAGCATAAATCCAAGCCCATGGATCCTCTCCCAGAGAGTGTATCAGCCAGAAACTATCACTGGAGGACACCTTACCCGCTCTGGGATTGGGCTGGGGCAAGTCCCTACCTCTTCTTCTTTCCAAGCAGGCACTGTGATTTCTTCCAGTCCCTGGGGACCCTCAGTCTTCAGCTGAAATTGGGGCAGATGCTGCTACAGGAGCTGTGGAAAGGCTGATCTAAGCCTGGAAAAGGTCATTCGACTGACTTTAGTTCCCTCCTTAGCAAACTGTCCAGCATTCTCAAGAACTCTCTTCCACCCTTCTGCACTATTCCCCCTTTACTAGGAAGAAATCTTTCCCCTCCCACTGGCCTGGTACAGTCAGGCCTCGAGCCCATGCTCCAGGCTTCTTTATGCTCGATTAAGAAATTATCTTCCAGTTCTTGACTCTGTTCCCCATGACCTGAACCACACGTATTTCTGGCTCCTCCGCCCCAAACCCCTCCCTTAGGGCTGCCTCTGGATTCTAGGCCCCCCTCCCATCCGCCCCATCTCCTTTTTTTCCTCCACCTCCAATCTTCCTCCATTCCATCTCCTCTTCCCCAGCCCGGATTTAGTCCCTTTTCTGTCACTACTCCATGCTGGGGTCCTGCGTTATCCCGCTTCAACTCTAGCCTCCCGGGCCCGACTAGTCTAATCCCACAACAAACTTTCCGCCGCTGCCCGCTGCATTCAAGCCGCCATCTTGCCGCGGGGCAAGCCGGGTAGTGGCCAGGGCAGCGGGAATCCCCACGCACTAGGCGCCGTGCGTCATTGGGGGCGGGGCCGCGGGGCGGGGCCTCGAGCTGGGGACCGGGGACTCAAGGTGATGGGGAAAGGTGAGAATCTCCTAAAAGATTATCTCTTAAGAGACTGGGAATGAAGTCCTGTTGAAGGAGGAGTTGGGCAATAGGGGTTAAGACTGGTAATGGAAAAAGAATAGGCCAGGTGCGGGGGCGCACGTCTGTTATCCAAAGGATTTGGGAGGCTGAGGCAGGAGGATCCTAAATTCATTCCAGGCCAGCCTTGGCAACTTAGCAAAATAAAAAATAAAAAGGACCTGGGATGTAGCTCAGTGATAAAGCGCTCCTGGGTTCAATCCCTAGTCCCAAAAGAAAAAAAAAGAAAAAGAATAACAAGGAAGCACAGCCCAAAGATAGAGTGAGAAGGGCTGGTGGTGTAGGTCTGTGGTAGAGCACAAGTATGTTCATTCATTCGCCCAGTGTGTGCGTGTGTGTGTGTGTGTGTGTGTATGTGTGTATCACACACACACAAAAAAAACTCTGTGTGTGTGTGTGTGTGTGTATTTCTGGTATTGATTTCTCCATCATCCAAGGGATGAAGTCAGCTTTTTAGCTTGGCACAGGAAAATTCGCAGGACCCAGCCTCTTCTACTTTCATCAGCCTCATTTTCTCTCTCTCCCAAGAACTTCCCTCTGGTGCTCCTTTGCTCCTTCTGCTTGACATTTCTAGCAATTTGCACATAACTGTATTATGGCTGCCAGGTGCCATAATCATTTATTGACACACTGTATCCCTTTTGCTGTGCCATTTCTTCAGGGCAAAAACTATGTCTGGGGGCGAGGGTGGCTGGGGGTTGGGGCTCAGTGTTAGAGCGCTTGCCTAGCAAGCAGGAAGCACTGAGTTCAATCCTCAGCACCAATGAAAAAAAAATAAATAAATAAAATTAAGGTATTGTATCCACCTACAACTAAAAAATATATATTAAAAAAAAACTATGTCTTCGTATTCTATAGCAGATGCCTGGCACACAATAAATCCTTAATGAATAAATAGCACACTTTTCTGCTGGGGCACTAAGCATATCTCTGCCTCAAGAGTCTTTTAGGTTGCCTTTCCCTGTGACCAGAATGTTCTTGCTCTAGGTATTCACTCCCATCTATGTCTCTGCTCAAATGTCACCACCTCAGAGAAGCCTTCCCTGGCCACTCACTCTAAGTCAGCATACCCAGACATTCTCCCTTACCCTGCTTTAATGTTTGCTTTCATAGCAATTATAACCTAACATCATATTATTTTTTTTCTTTTTTTTTTAAATTTTGTATTGTTGGTTGTTCAAAACATTACATAGTTCTTGACATATCATATTTCACACTTTGATTCAAGTGGGTTAAAAAATATGGAACGCTTCACGAATTTGCGTGTCATCCTTGCGCAGGGGCCATGCTAATCTTCTCTGTATCGTTTCCAATTTTTAGTATATGTGCTGCCGAAGCGAGCACAATTAACATCATATTAAATATTTCTTTGTGGACCATCTCTTCCAATACAATACAAATTCCAGAGGTCTGAAATTTTTTCTTACCATATCCCCAGTATCCAAAACAATGCCTGGCATATTAGGTACTCAATAAATATTTATTGAATGAATAAATGGTTTGGAAGTGGGTGATTGAAAGATTTTAGTATATAGTGGTGGGAGGAAGGGTTGAAAATACTATAAAATAAAGAAATGCATAGATAAAAGTAAACTGGCTTCTAAAGCAGTACTTGGCCCTAGCAGGAATGGTAGCAAAGACAGGCCCCAAGTTTAACAAAAGAGAACGTGAGATGAGAAGATGTGAACCAGGTGGAATTCTGGTCCTCAGTCCTCAGGGAGCAGAGCTTCTGGGAAAGCCTCAGGACAGCAACCAAGCCAGGTAGAAGAAAGGGGGAGGGCTGGTGGCAGAGGAGTTTACTCAGAACTAACAACAATATCCACCCCAAGCCCAGGCCTCTCTTGACCAGATGGTTCCGGTGAAGTGTTTGCATCTGTCCCTCCATAAATTATCTAGTGCTCCCTCCTGCCTGTCCTCTCCAGTGACAGCCGGAACAATTGCCCAGGAATTCCATCTGCTCCTCCTGTCCCTCTCCCCTCTGCAGCTCATCAACATTTCAGAGCACAGAGGTATCCCATTTCCCTTAGACTAGGGATGGGAACTAGGTCTGTCTCCTGCTAGAGCTGTTTTCAACACATACAAATAAAACCTCAGCAGAGGAACTCAGATCCCCCAAGGATAGACTATCCCATCTTTATTCCCCATCCCATCCATGTTTTCCTATCCCATATATCTTTTTAAAAATTAACTTAAACCGGGTGTGCTGGCTCATGCCTGTAGTCCTAGCTACTCAGGCAGAAGGATCACTTTAGCCTAGAAGTTTGAGATCAGCTTGATCAATTTAGTAAGATCTTATCTCAAAAAGAAAATTATTAAAATTACACTAAATAAATCAATCACATGAGTTCTTGTAGAGTTTAAAATTAAGGTTCTCAGGAGCTGGAGGTGTAGTTCCATAGTAGAGGACGTGCTTAGTTAGTATGCACAAGGTCCTAACTTCAACCCCCAGCACCAACAGCACCAAAAAAAAAAAAAAGATTCTCAATTATATACATCTTTTCCCCAGAAACTTCCTATTGAGTACTCTCAAAATGTGACAGTCATTATAAGAATGAACTTTTTAAAAAAATTAACTGAGGGCTGGGGATGTGGCTCAAGTGGTAGCGCGCTCGCCTGGCATGCTTGTGGCCTGGGTTCAATCCTCAGCACCACATACAAACAAAGATGTTGTGTTCACTGAAAATTAAAAAATAAATGTTAAAATATTCTCTCTCTCTCTCTCTTTAAAAAAAAATAAAAATAAATAAAAAATTAAAAAAATAACTGATTTTTTAAAGTTTAAAAATAAAAAATTTTAAAAAGGAAAAATAAAGAAAATAAGACCACAAATTCAGATATTTTGGTTGCAAGAGACATAATCATTTGAAGCCAGGAGGCAGACCCTCTTCTTATTTGTGACCTTGATTAGAGCTGCTGAACCTGTATTCATGGTTGTTATGAAGATGATTTCAAAACTTCAAGAGGTGATAACTTAGTCTACTTCCCTAGATTTAAATTATACACATTTCCTCATTCTTCTATTAATAGATGTTCACAGCTGCCACTCTGGTAGATGAGCTTTTATTATATGTAATGTCTTCTTTTTTTTTTTTTGTAGTACTAGGAATTGAACCCAGTGGCACCATATCACTGAGATACATTCCCCTAGTCCTTTTTTATTTTTTATTTTGAGGCAGGGTCTTGCTAAATTGTCAAGATTGGCCTCAAACTTGTGATCCTCCTGCCTCAGCCTCTGCAGTAGCTGGATTACAGGCTTGTGCCACTGCACCTAGCAATCATACTTATTTTAGGTACCTAGAACAATAGTCAAATTCAGACATAGAAACAGAATGCTGGTTGCCAGGGGCTGGAGGAAGGTGAATGAAGATTTAGTGTTTAATGGGTACAGAATTATAGTTTGGGGGGCTGGGGATGTGGCTCAAGCGGTGGCGCGCTCGCCTGGCATGTGTGCGGCCCGGGTTCGATCCTCAGCACCACATACAAACAAAAGATGTTGTGTCTGCCGAGAACTAAAAAAGAAATAAATATTAAAATCTCTCTCTCTCTCTCTAAAAAAAAATTTAAAAAAAAAAGAATTATAGTTTGGGAAAAAATTCTAGAGCTAGAATAAAAAAGCCCTTAGAGGTGGGTAGTTCTATGGTTCCTCTCTATGCTATATCAGAAGGGCTTCCTTCCCTCCATTCCAGGTCAGTGCCTTAGACTTGGCCTTGAAAGTATGTAATGTCCCATAGACTAAGCAATTATATATACACTAAAGGTAAGAATAGGAGACCCAAGTCCAGAAGCTTCAAGTAAACCTCCTTTAGCAGCTGCCAGAAGGGCTGGAGCAAGAGACACCTGTGCCTTTGCTGCCTCAGCTCCCTCTCATCAACTCTGGGTAGTCCCAGGTGGGAGGGGCTTCACAAATGTGAACATTTGATAAAGTTTTGCTTCATATTAATGGTTCTGGATATGGGTGAATCTCTTATTTTTCTAGGTCTGGGCATATCTGTCTGCACATGCTCACAGATCCAAATGGACCTGTTGCCTCTTTTGACATTTCAGAAGGAAGCTATGTCACTACACACTAGTGGACACAGCCTTTTCCTCTACCATCTCAACTCACCTCCAATCAGTAACTACCCTAGTCCTTTCCTTGAGCAGGTATTTCCAGGTTCTTCAAGCATGGTATCCAGGCGTGAGCACGCACACAGTTGGTCCTGCCAACATACACACACACACACACACACACACAGAGTCAAAAGGTAGGAACAATGGCTGGGTTTGGATTTCAACTCTTGAGCAGCTGGTCCAACTCCTGCTGTAAGATAGGATGGGGGTGGAGGACAGGAAGCAACTACAAGGACAGAACTTTTGTTTCAGGACCCAAAGGCCCCTGTGCTGGCAGAAAGCCCCATTAAGGGTAGACTCTGGCTATGTCTGACTACCTCTCAGCGCTAGCTCAGCTCCTACCCTGGGGCCCATACTTAGGCTGTCCAGAACTGGCTTAGAGAAGCACTAACAGTATGACACAAGCAGGTAAATGATTGTCCCTTCTTGGTGAGGACAAAAGCCAGGTCT